ACACATTCGTTGTGAGAGAGTGTGTGTGTGTGTGTGTGTGTGTGTGTGTGTGTGTGTAACATACTTGGCCAATCAAAGTGATTTATTATTGTTAAAGGCCCCTGTCTGGGCCCCTCTCTGTGCATAATTTATATGTATGATATTCTGTTCCTTATTTAGATAGGGAACTAAAAATCACAGTCTGCCTTGCTTGTGATGTTTTTAATGATTAAGAGTGACTGTGATAAAATGTAAGGCCATAAATTAATACAGTATATTGTGTCAGTGTTCAGTTGTTGCACTGTTAAGGATAAGAATAATCACCTTTATTGGCCAAGTATGTTACACACAAGGAATTTGTTTCCGGTACAGAACCAATGGCAGCCATCTGTGGCGCCAACTCAACCGATGGCTCTAACCATCGGAGGCAACGGGGAGGTTCAGTGTCTTGCCCCAGGACACTTCGACATGTGGACTGCAGGCACCGAGATATGAACCTTAAACCTTGTTAGAAAAAACCTAATTCTTTTGTCAGAAGTGCAAGAAGTGAAGACAGGAGAGGACTGTATAAAATCAACAGGACGTTTACTCAAAGTCTGGGCACAGGTGAAGTCATACAGCGCTAGGATCAGAGAGACAGAGCTCACGCAGGAAATCTGTTCTCTGAGCCCCGAGTTAGGTTTTCTCATTACATTTATCTTCTCGGGCTGAGTCTGCCCTGTACAGAGGTACAACGTTTCACGCTTTGTAATCCTATTGACCATTTGGTGTGAGTAGGTCAACCCCTGTCCCCGCCTGCTTGCTGAAATGTGATCTATACCGTGTGTGTGTGTGTGTGTGTGTGTGTTGTGACTTTCAGGCGGCAGCTAATCAGTGAATGCTGAACAATTGGTTGTCTGCGCTGCAGACCCCCTATTTGTGTAGACAATTACAGGACAAAGCAGGGTCTAGTGAGTATGCTAAACGGGCCAGGTGGTCATTTCAGGTTGTAGGCCCCCGGTCTCTGCAAGATACTACATGACAAAGCAGAACTTGGAATATGTTAAGCAGGTCTAGGTGAAGATGCAAAACAGGCCAACAGGTCTGTGTTAAAATGTAAAATAGGCCTTCGGGTTACTTGAATATACAAACATCCTGTCTTCCACAAAATTTGCATCATACAGTTCCAAAGTTTCACTCAGTAGAATATGGCAGTCATCAATACAGTTTAATATATATAAGCAAGGAAAAATAAAGGTATGAAAAGTAATTAAAGGAAACTAAATTATGAAAAGTAACTAAAGCTTATAAAGTAACTAGTCAGGTAAAATAACCTGATAACGTCAGGTTCGGAGACTATCCATTGTTAACACAGGGTCAGATCTTACAACTTTCCTGTTGGGAGGTGACTGCTCTACCCACTGAAACTTGCACTGAATGTTAAACTGGACCGCATTACATAAAACAAGCGTTCCCCATGCTATTTGTTTAAAATGATGTTAGAATATAGAACTATCTTTATAGACCCTTTGAATAAATGTTGAATTTGCAGAATTTGAATTTAATTGCATGTATTTTGCTGTGCTCAATCTTTATGGCTATTTATTTTCCAGATAATGACTTTGATGAAGAAAAGGACAAGGACCCCAATAATAGGGTCACAAGGGCAAAAGGTAACAAGTGCAAATAAAAAGTATTTATTTTTGTTATCTTTATAATTAGAGCAGTAGCTACAGTTTTTCCTAATTATTATATGCGAACTGCATCTGTAGGTACCTGGTATTCAAATTCTGCGAAGAAATGTTGTCCTTCACCCTCTCCTCCTGCCCTGAATACGTCCAGCCTCTTCCAGGAGTTTCAGAAGAAATACATGGAGAAGACACAGCCAGCCACTGATAAATAACATGGCAACCAGAAGGTTCACTAATAGCTGGAGGGTTTTTTTTTTCTGTCAGATATTTTTCTGCTACCTGGGAAAGTCTTCATTGGAGTGTGTTTTATACTGTATATTCATGGAATAAACTGAAGCTTTGCCAGTTAATACTGAGTTACTCTGTTACTCCTCTTTTTGCACACAAAATTGTCAGTTGTTTACATGGCTGTAAAATCTCTCAAGTCGCTTGTAATTCCTAATGTCTGTCATGTTTTTATAGAAACTTACCTTGCTGACTGTATGTGAACGGAGTATTTCATTTGCACATTTATATTTTTGTATTCAGAATATGTTTATACAATATTTGCATTTTAAACATTTCTTATGACATAAGAAATGTGATCTAGTATTTTTTTATGTACATTTACTTTTCAACATTAAATGTATCAGTAACTTGATATATGAGCTGCCTGATTGTTATTTTTTAAAACTATTTGTGTGTGCTAGTTGAGACTGAATAGGAGTAAGGCTTCATCCTGGCTTTTATTGTGGTGGGTTTACTTCCTTATTCTTCAGCCTTCTATAGATTTTACAAAATAACTACCAATAAGTTTAAGGACTGTTGTGGCAAAATTATCTATTAAAGCTCAGTGAGTGTAAAATAAAAACTTAAATGTCAACTCTAAAAATTATTACACATTTATTTCTGCAGAAAGGAGCGATCTCTAAACGGTGTCTAAAACGGTCTGAAGGAGAGAATTTCTCAGAACAGAGGGCTACTTCTCTTATACACACACACACAATTGCAGGGAACAAATGCTCAAACAGATAGGCACCAGGATAGCAGTTAAAACAGGACACAAGCCATCTGTTCAGCAGTCACACAAAGGCAGGAAATCTTTACGAACATGCTGACACAAACGATCTGGTGTCACAATCACACAAATGCCTGCATACTGTTAGTCTACCATTGCTAACTCTGAGAGACGAGACAGTCCAAGTAACTTCAAAACAGTGCTGATTTATTCAAACATACTTAGCCAGTATCACACTCTAGCCACTCCTGTAGTGGCTAGCAATAAATCAGACACCAGAAGAAATATGTAATCAAACAGCATGTAGCTCATATTTGGTATCAGCTTGTGT